TTGAACGAAAGGACACCCACCTCGTCCGTAAGCATGCTACGATCCACCAGTAGGACATCTCATTGTTAGGCGATTATGGCAAGCACACTAGTCGCACAAGTAGCTAATAATAAGTAAATATTATCTCCTAAGAAACATGTATTACATGACAATATGTACAATTAATAACTAAATTAGACAAAATAATATTCCATTAAATGATGGTTTGTAAAAGAAATAAAAACTATGCAAAAAAAATGTAAAGTTGTTTTTTGGAATCAAATAGTTAGAAGGCGGTTTATATTAGAAATGGTATGGTATGTTAATGTTGGGATTAGATTTCACTAACCTCACTCAAGCATTTAATCACTAAAATCCTTTTTTGCATTTAATGTTAATATCAACCCACTAATTTATTCAAATCCTAATTCCTTAAAAAAGAGTATAAGTTCCTTTATTAAGCATTAATTCCTTGAATACTTAACAACCAAACTTGTATTAATAAAAAGGGTTTAAGACAACTAATGAGTCAAGTTTTATTCCAAGATACAAGCTCCATTAGGTATTTTATTTTAGTTCTAGATTATAAAAGATATTTTTGAATACATAATGAATCAAATACCAACCTATATCTAATCATTCCACAACAAGCATTAAAAGTAAAAATAAAATAGGCTAAAACCTTATTTTGGTCCCTTATATTAATTGTTTGTTTCAATTTAGTTCCATTTTTATTTTTGGTTTCAATTTGGTCCCAAACTAATTAATTGGTTTCAATTTAGTCCCAAATTAATTAATTGGTTTCAATGTGGGACTTCCGTCCAACTTATTTAAACGGAGTTAACTTTTGGCCACGTAGATACCATGTAGATTCATACGTGGATGTCATGTGGATGACAATTTTTGGCTAAAAACCTATTTTGGTCCCTTATAATATATTTATATTTTTGTAAAAGTATATTAATATATAACAAGTTATATTTATCAAATTATTAGTTTATCTATAAATATATTAATAATATTATTGATATAATATTGAAAATTATAATATACGTTAATTTGAATAGATAAATAATTGTTTAATTTTAAAACATTATATATATATATAT